TAACGAGGTCGTTACAGCAAATCCACTCATATCCCTCAACTTCTAAATACATAGTTCACTTTATGCAACGAGGTGGTTACATTAAATCCACTCATATCCCTCAGCTTTCAAATACACAGCTGTATCGATATGCATTGAGATGCTATTATGCGAAGGGTAATACCATAAATCCACTCATATTTCTCAAGTTATATGATGGATATATTTTTGGTACGGTAATGAAGGCGTTACTTTTCGGTACAATATGTGCTGGTAATGTCAATATACTTTCGTTGTTCATTCTTGAGGGTATCGTGACGGCTGGCTGTCGATACCCGTCGTATTGGTGTTATGACATCTATGAGCAAATCTTAAACATCAACTTCTGAAATCAGGAGATTTAATAAGCGTGAATGTGGCTTACAATCTGACAAATATTTGCCAGATGAAAAATTGAAGAAAAAAAATATCCTGTTTTTTAGCGTGCTCATCTTAGAGACTTATTTATGTAATGTAACCAAAGATTTAATTCTTGCACCACATGTCGAAAACAATCTCTATTTATTTATTTCTTCATTTTTCGATGCCTACTTCATATGTCTAATTATTACTGGCGTCATCTATTGCCTCTATATGAGAACCAAAATATCAATTATTATCCTAATAAAATATTCAAAATATTTTCTTATTACGAGAAAAAGAAATTTCTTCGTGCTTTTCTCACTTCAAAATAGAAATTATTTCATTGAATATTAATTGGCATATTAATAACTTGGTAAAATCTACTTGAAATTTCATCTTCGGTTGTCAAGTTTTTGTTTACTAAACGAAAATATTTCTCATCAACATCTTTGTTTTATATTATTGCATAAATGATTTCAATTGAAATAATGGGACGATTAGATATAATGAAAAGAAAATAGTTTTAATTTAAATAAAATAACTTATTATTTTATTAAAGTAGGTTTACATGGTAGACATGGATGAGATGAGTCTTTATTTTAATCTATTGAACTAAATTAATATTTTTACAGATGTTGATGGACGAAGTAGGAGTTGTAATAAACATTTTTTTTTTGATTAATTGAACGTTTTAATAAATATTTCGATTGATAGATGGTTCACGAAGTGATGATGGATGTAAGTATTCTACAAAAATTTCATGGAGTCATATAATAATTTTACCGATGTAGTTGAAGCGAAGTTCATGATGGTAAATGTAAGTTGAATTATTTTCTTCTCAATTGATTGAATTCATTTTTATAATAAGATGGAAGTGGTTGGACAAAAAGTTGTTGTTGAATCTCATCGGCACTCAGATTTGTTTATTTAATTATTTTTTCTCAATATTATATAATATTGATTTCTTTTGTATTAGGAATATTTGTAATTGAATCAAAAGATAACAATATATTATTAACGAAACATATGGTCGTTAATGTAAAAATTTTATTAAATTGTTTTAACAAATAACTGAAAACTTCTTTTAGAGTGAAAATCAAGAAAAAATTGGATATCATGTGTATAGAATCCATTTCGATCGAAATTAGATGCTGTTAGTAGTACGACTGTTTCTCTAACGCACATTATCTTTTTAAGAATGACGGACATTTGATTATTTCAATTAAAATATAAACAAGAAATATTTATATTTCTAAATGTGTATATTTTCCGCTTAGGTAAGTTCTATTGATTCTAGAGCAACATCAGAAACTGTACTTGCTGATGAAGTTAAAGACACTTTAAAGCAAAAACTTTGAACCATATAAATGTAATCATACTAGTGTGGTTGGTTTTTATAAATACATCAAATTCTTGGTTTTATTTTTTTTATTTCAATCAATTTAAAAATCCCTTTTGGCTTATTGACAAAAACAAGAATAAAGAAACAAATTATTAAAAAGACGATATGGAAGAACAATACTATATTATTATTAAATTAACATATCCAATAATTTTGTGTTTGGCACGTTTTGCTGTTCTTGTTCTTCATTAAAAATAAGAAACACATTTTTGAACAAAAATGTAATACTCAAAGCATTATAGGAAATTATTTGTTAGATCATCAGATCTATTGAGGGTGTGGGCGTGGGTCAATAGAAGATTAGAACTCATATCCACACCTACACCCACACCCATCTCCATAGGGACTTATTGATTATCTCCCTAGGATTGATAGCTGTTGAAGACTTGGGATCCCTATAGGATAGCTCTTGAGGACTTCTGAGCACTACCTAAGATAGTGCTTGAGGAGTTTTGTATATCCGCTTTAGAAACCGCTTGAGGACTTCTG